TCCAATGATTATTACATAAAACCATTGCAAACCTGAATAGATTGATATAAATTTTTTGAAAACTTTTTGTTGGGACAAACCCGTCTTGATAAATTGATTTTTTTTCTAAATTTGAGTTGGATTTGAAAATGGTTTGGGCTATTATTGCTTTAGGAAAAGCACAATTAAAAACAAAAAATAAACATGGCTAATATAATTAAGTTATCAGTTTTCGTCTCGTCACATCACACACAAGAAAACGGCACAAAATTGAAACAAAATTTTTGATAACTTGATTGAGTTTTTATAATTTCAGAGTTTATAACATGATTGAGATCAAAACTTTCTGTGCTGCTAGCAGAGCAACTGTTAATTTTTTTTGAGCGACATCAAATTTTCAGCAAACAGTATCCTGTATCCTAAGGATTTTTAAGGAAGCTTATGGATATATATATATATATATATATATATATATATATATATATATATATGTATGTATGTATTTGCGTAAGTATGTATGCAATATATGCTTGTATGTATGTTCATAGATATATATATATATATATATATATATATATATATATATATATATATATATGTGTGTGTGTGTGTGTGTGTGTGTGTGTGTGTGTGTGGGTGTACATACATACAAGCATATTTTGCATACATAAATACATAAATACAGACTTAAATTCTCTTAAAATTATTAATAAACTATTTTGAAATTATATCTGTAAGTAACTTTAATTATATTATAGCGCTGTTGAAACTCGCAGTAGTAAAATGATAAATTGAAAAAAAGAAAGAGATCAAAAAAGCTAATTTTATTGCCAGTTTCCCAGTAGTCAACTGTTTCAATCTCTTATCTAAATTCCAAAACTTTGAGCTACGCGTAAAACATTTCAAGCAAACATCTATTACACCCAGCCAACAGTCAGCTCAGAAAGTTTCGATTAAAATCAGAGCAAAAAAAATTAAACGAGCTGAACTATCAGAAAACAACTTTGCTTTCAAGACACAAATCATTCCCTTTAAATATCTATGAGTTTTATGGTTTGATTCTTTTCAACCCCTTCTTTGTTTTTGAAAGCTTACAGAAGAAGGCTTCCGCAGGCTCACCGGAAACATTTATGTTTGAAACAGAAATGAAGCACGCAAGCGTGAAATGCGAGGAAACTAAAAACTCAACCAATGGCAAGTTAATAACATGCACAGCCGGTTACTTTGCAAGTTGCACAGGATGTTCTTTACAAAACTACTGTTAAGAAAGTTTTTTTTTCAAATTGGTGTAGTTTTTTTCTGAGTGGTGTGATACAAAGGATGTGACGTTTAAGCGTATTTGACAGTCATAGTAATATAGGCAAATTGGACAAAATGTTTTGTTCAAAAATAACGAGAAAAACTATGAAATAAAAAATAAAAAAATTTTTTCTCAAAATTTTGCAGAAAAAAATTGAATTTATGAAGTTTTTGGTTCCCAAAATGAAGCAAAAATACTCCAAAAACTAGTTTAATTGCTTAAAATTAATTTTTAAGGTCCTAAATTAGGCATAACATTGGCATTTCAGCTCTTGTAAGCCGGCTCGCTTGCTTTATTCGCTTGAATTAAGACGAAAAATCAAAAATTTCAAACCGGTTTGTCTCCTGTCGAAATCTTTTAATGTGGTTCGAATCATAACTGAAAGGGTTTGAATATGATTTAGCGCTCAAAAGAGTCCAATGATTATTTGTGGTACTTGATTTTGCGTAAAACAAAAAAAACTAAGACGCACCCGAATACAAAGTTCCTTCCCATTTTCAATGGTCGGAACAAAAAGTGTAAGCAAGCTTGGAAAACTAAACTCCATGGTTGACAAAAAATATATACATTCATAAAACTCTCAGACACTTGTCTAATTCTTCCTTACGTTTAAAAAATTATTTTGAAATTTCTATGATAAGCGTTTAGTTATAAAATGAAATTGTATGACTGATATTTTAAAAAAAGGCTATTTTCCAGTTGCCCCCTTTCAAATTCAATTTTGAAAAGCTTATTTAACGTTGTCACAATGCAATGAAATTTGGCGTGCTGAACAAATCGACAACTGTGAACAGGTTTGTTCTTCATACTTTACAGCGTAACATCACGTATTTAGCCGTAATAACACGTAGAACAAACATAAAACTCGGTATTTTGAAAGGGGGAACTGGAAAAGAGCCTAAAAAACAACTAAATAACAGATTTTTTGGTTCTTAGTTTAACTCCACCAGTTTTTGTTTTCGTTTCTAACAACGGTAATCTTGGATAATAAATACCCAAAGATCAGAATAGCATTGGGTACTGAATTGCATTATGAGATTAGGTCTTGAAGTAAAAACTGACCTTGAAACACTATTTTTTCCAAAATCACTACTCAATGTCTTACAACGGGGATTCTGCTGCAAATTTTTTCTCCGATTGTGAATTATGCGTGACTGTTATCTAGCCTAAATGTCTGGAATTGTCCTTTGTGTCAACAAACATAAACAACAAAATAGTGACCACCGCAGCTTTTTATTGTAATTTTACGAGGGGGGTGGAAAACTGGAAAAGAGCCCAACAATTTTTAATTTCGCATGGAAATATGAAAACTGTAGTGCTAGCAGTTTTTCATAACAGTTTGAAATTCAAAACTTTCGCGTGGTAAGCAATCTTAAATTTAGGCTCTACATATAATTTGCATTTGTAAGAATAAATTGAATATTAGTCCAAACTCATTCCTAAGTCGTTGTCAAGAACAGATTTGACAAACAACGACTTCAGAAGAACCCAAAATAAAAAGTAGTTCTTGTGATTCAAACTTTTGATTGGTCCATTGCTGTGTTCAAGCCGCAGTTTCTATACATGCCCGACTCTCCGAGTGCTCGTGTGAATTTTCCGTCTTTCGGGTGGAATTGAATAGGGGCTTCGTGCACTGATGGTCCTCGGCTGCCGTACTCGTTGTTGGTTGTTTTGTACATGGGGTGTTGTGGTTTGGACTCGTACCCTTTGACTAAACTG